GCCCGAGGGTTGACCTAATTATGGAGGGTTTCCCTACAGCCGCGGACGCAACCTCCGAAGGCGGGTTTTGCGCCTTGCGCCGTAGAGATCCTAACTGCGGAGCTCGCAGGGAGGGCGGTGCCTGCCCTTACTGCTGCACCCCAAATCCCAGATTCTACAAGATCCCTCGAGAATCCCCGCGATCTTCCGGATTCACTCTGTTTTGATGTACCGAAGGCCATTTACAATGCTGCCAGGGTACAGTTTTCCAAAAATGTTTTAATTTCCTCAAAATTGCCAAAAGTGGGGTACCACAGTTAGGGTCAAGAGCTCTCTAAGTATTCTGAGAAAGAAAAAATAAAAAAAAGCTGGTATCTAAAAGCCTCAATTGATGCACCTTAGTCCCCTACAATTTATCTCAGGCTCGCCATCTCACAAGCTACATCCGTGGATCAAAAACTTAGAAGGTGTTATTGCGAGATGCATTGGTCACTAATCGAATGACTGAGTTGGAGGCGTAGTAGAAAATGGAATCTCTGAAGTTTTCCCCGGTCCTCTGAAATATATATATACACACACACACATTGATGTATTTTTCTTTCTCTTGAATGTACTTCCTGTAATGAAATGCAGCAGAGAGATTATTCACTGTTTCCATCCCATTATTGAAATTGCCGAGTCAGCAGATCTAAAAGATGCCAAACATTGATAACTTCTTTTCTCAATGCTTAGAGAGCACACTCAACAACGTACATTTACCACATCTTAGTTCTATCTTTAAATTCACATAGCACAAGTTTATTGAGTTGTAAGTCGAAATGAGTATCTATTCTTTGTTATTCTAATGTGTATCCACTTACCTTAATTTTTGATCTTACGTGCATAAAACGATGCAAACTCAGCAAGCATGGCTTATGGGTTCAGACTAAGTTCGACAACGACGAGTAGCCTCTCTCATGTAGGAAAAACAAGCAACAATCCGAAATCGGTGGTCAGAGATACCAGCTGCTTACCACGCGATTTCTCGATCGGAGATCTTGTTGAGCTATAATGCCACATCTGTCAAGCTCGAGCTCACGATCATAGCCTGCCCAGCCGCACCCCGCCCCCAATTTGAGTCGACAAACTTGACCTCACATGCAGGTTTGTCCATCCATATTTAGAGACTGCAGCTCTAATGCACTTCCAATAATAAGTGCTCGAAGAGCAAGTAATTTCCACCGTTCCTGCAAATGTATATATATCTAGAGTAGGAACACCCGCAGATACATCTACAGCAGCCTTTCAAATCCGCAGACCTCCCTTCATAATTCAGTACTTATGAGAACGGCATCGACTTCTGTACCAAGGGCATGCCAAATTATTCATACTGCGGGTCTTCAAACTCTTCGCTGAAATCTCGATGGTTCGCGTACATTCCTGAAATACACAGGTCGATGATCTTAATAGTGATGCCTTTCTACGATCCATCTGAGTCCGGCTTCGGAGGGACATTCTCGGAGGATGATTCGATCGATCTCGTCCACACCGTTTCGGAAATTGGAAATGTCCATTGAAATTTGAGGTCTCGATTGGAATTAGCTGCTCCATCAACCATTCACGATCAACCCCAAGCAGGCTCCAAAACACCAGCTTTCGTTTGCTCTTCCAACTACTATTGAATTGTCCAAAGTGACACGAAGTAATGTTGCAAAATGGAAGGACTAGCCCCATCGAGTCGTGCATGGATGAATCGAAAGGGATAAGATTGTGTTATTATTGTAGTGTCCGTGACACCGGGAGTAGAGTGCGAATGTGCTACTGTAACGAAGAACTTTGACGAGGGGGTAAGAGAAAGTGAGACCCCACATTCCTCAATTCATCTACAAAAAGCGGCTGAAGTCCAACCTGCATGTTCCAGGAAGATGACATTGGCAACTTGAAACTTTGCCACGAAAGTCCAACCTCTGTGATTAATATCAGACGAGCGAGAGTATTTAGCGGAACTCCTTTGCCTGCCACTGAAGTCAGGTAAGGCCACTGGGGAAGATTTGTACTAAAAAGTCCACCTGCAGAAAGTCGTCGATGGGGTGCGTATGTAGTCGATGATGCCCAAATTTACGCGGTTATCTGACCAAATTGGTCTGCGCGACTCATCCTCGAAATTGCTCGTCTTCTGTTTTATGGCCATGCCTGCAACTGTTTGGTCAAGAGTCCGACAAACTCACAACGCGTAGTTATGAAAAGAGAGAGGCTAATGTTCCACCCTCCCCAGGTCCACCCCTCATGGGCTGCAAGTCAGGCCACTAGAACATGACTTTCGTAAATGGATGCTTGCTTGACTGGCCGAGGCGGCGGCTCCATTTCCCAAATGGGGACAGTGGATTGCCATGTTCGCCCCTAGGTCTTGACCCTGCTTTAAAAGGTTTCTATGACGAAACAAACTCTTCAAAAATTTACATTCTCTATGGATCCATTCACATCACATTACTCAAAGGAAGCATGGGCTGAGAGAGTCACCTGTGCTACCTGTGATCTCATTAAACAAAATCTCATTTTCTTTTTTTAGGCATAAAAAGGCTAGAGAGAAAGTTCCCTTGGCAAGAACGCAAGTAAGTTATGATACGTTGTACTCGTGCTATTATATATCAAACATGAAGGAAATTGCAAATTTGGAAACTACCCTCGAATTATCCAACTTTCGAAAATTTGATGCTCCGTCAGTATTGAATCTAGATGTTTACCTTAGATCTTGAGCTTATTGAGCCACACCTCATACACAAAGGTAAAAGAAAGCTTTACATGTACAGATCCATTCAAATATTTACATTCGTGTATATATTCTTGTTTTGAAAAAATAAAATATTACATAACGTATGACATGTCTTTATCAAGACATCTACGCTGACAACTTTGGCGTTGACAGCAGAGAAAAAACACTTAAATATTGTAGTATATTCCATCGTTAAACATAATCAATACAATTCTATGAAGATAAAATTATCTTTTATTACAATTATTTAAGAAAACATAATTAATAAAAAAAAATAAACCATTGAAGAAACTCTGACCATTCCGATAAGTTGTAGTTACAGATACTAAAACTATGTAACATTTGACATGTTTGTAAATTTTGCATTCTTGGATATGATAATAAAAATGCCAAGCTTCGACAAATATTAAGTCCTTTTTCAATGACATTATGTTGATATGGTCATCGATCAAAAGTCATTCAAGTCTCGAGGATACAGATGTATTTTTGGTCTGAACTCAAAACCGAGAAGGGAAGAAGGCTTGTGATTCCTCGATGATTAAACTCTGCAACGGAAAAGATTGGGGTTTGGAGCCGTATGAGGTGTAACGTTAACGAAAGGTTCTGTGAGGAGGCATGCATGATTTTTCGAAAATTTAACTTAACGAAAATTTAACTTAACGATAAATAATGAACATTAGATTCATATCTATGTTTCACTTTGAGAGAATGAAAGAATTGTAGATCTAGTGTACGATAAAACCTAGCAAGGTTTAAGGCAAATCTATCTTCATGGTTCGCAAATGGATCTCTGGTGCTAGCTATATACCACCATGCATAATAGTGTCATTGTCAGCTATGTCAATTGTTCAACATTATCTGTATAAATCTGCAATATCACAACTGTATATAGGACAATTCTAACAGAAAAAATCAGAATATCAGATGGATTCAATCTTAAACTCGCGTTTCTATGTTTAGTATGATGAACGGCTTGACAGCTAACAATTGCTCTGCATAGCTCGCGAATACTTCGTACGGTAAGCTTGATGTGAGGTTTGACCATCAAAGCAGTATAGCTGTGCAGGATAATGACCAAAAAAAGTAATTAGAGCGATGAATGATGACTTAATTCTTCGAAAATGAAAGTGAGCAGTGAAAGAGAGATTGTATGGTCGACTGTGGAGTAATCAAACCTCTACTCTGATTTTTACGCAAGGGATCGGTAGCTGGAAAATCTAGAGAATTTCGAGGTATCGATATTCCACTCCTCACCGCTCACGAGCAACACTCTCTCTGTGATCGGGATCGATGTTAGAGCTCGTCACTGGCCTCCTGGCAGCTCGGGAGCGGAATAATTTTAATAGTCTGCTCGAACCTGGAAACCACCACACTCTCAGAAGCTAAAAATTTCGAAACACTCTAAATAATCAATCAATTTATTCTCGAAAACCCGTATTCCGATAATCGAAGTTCCCAATTTCAAGTCATCCGGGAGCTTTCAAAAGACAGATTCAGATAAAATATTTCAAATGCGTGCGAAAACAAAAACTTCCGGTCGCTTCCAGGGAGACAGATCGAACGCGCCTGTACATAGATACGATCCAGTTCGTAATGTCCAAAGATTCGATGCCAAGCACGGCTTGCGTTACCGGGTCTGGTTACGGAGGCCAGATATAGACCGACTTGATGAATGGATCGATGGATGGACGGATGGGTTGGTGGATGCAACAGCTGGCCCCGTCCGTTCGAAGCCCGAACTCGAACACCGTCATCTTGTACTTCCGACGAGGGCGGGCACAGACAGCTGTTCCATTACAGGCGACCGTTGGACCGTTATGTGGAGTTGACATCGGTCGCAAGTCAATCGCGTTCGAATTCGCCGAACCGTATTCGAACTCCCGGGGCTCCTCCCGTTGGAACGGATGATTCGGGGGCCGGGCGGCGGTGGGGAAATTGGAGGTTCTCTCATGTGCATTCGGAACGAGCAGATTTCTGAGAAGAATGATGATGATGATGATGATGGTGGTGGTAGTGGGCAGGAAGACAATATTAAGAAGGAAAGATGAACGCGAATTCTCCGCAAGGAAGACGGGCGGGTCGTTCGTGTGGGCCTCGCTTTCTCGATCTTTTGTCCCGCGAATTCTTGCGGAAGGCGTGTGTGCACTGGGAGCTTCGCTGACTGCTCTGAGAGTTTGGGTCGAAATTCGAAGAGAGGATTTCTTCTCTCGTCGAGCGGAGCAGAAGGTTGGGAGTTGTGAGTGTGGGAGACAGAGACAGGAGAGGTTCGATGGTGCACGTCGAAGTGAAGATGGATGAGTGCTTGAGTGTCAAGGAAGAATTATTGGGAGGCGGTGCCAAGCTCTCTCGACCTGTCCGGCACGACGATGAATCACGAGAACGGACGGGCTCGGAGGTGGTGCAGGCAAGGCATCAGCTGGACGCCGTGAAGCCCAATGGAAGCTGTTTGAAGCTTCCTCACTCCGCCGAGGAAGCTGAGGAGACGGTGCCAAGCTCTCTCGAATTATTGGTAGGCGGCGCCAAGCTCTCTCGACCTGTCCGGCACGACGATGAATCACGAGAACGGACGGGCTCGGAGGTGGTGCAGGCAAGGCATCAGCTGGACGCCGTGAAGCCCAATGGAAGCTGTTTGAAGCTTCCTCACTCCGCCGAGGAAGCTGAGGAGACGGTGCCAAGCTCTCTCGAATTATTGGGAGGCGGCGCCAAGCTCTCTCGACCTTTCCGGCACGACGATGAATCACGAGAACGGACGGGCTCGGAGGTGGTGCAGGCGAGGGATCAGCTGGACGCCGTGAAGCCCAATGGAAGCTGTTTGAAGCTCCCTCACTCCGCCGAGGAAGCTGAGGAGTTGGTGCAGGCGAGGGATCAGCTGGACGCCATGAAGCCCAATGGAAGCTGTTTGAAGCTTCCTCACTCCGCCGAGGAAGCTGAGGAGACGACGAGAGGCCTGTCCCATTCATTGGTGATCGAGGAGGAGAATGGAGGATGTCCGGATCTTTCTGGGTTCCGACTGGATCCCCGAGACCATCAGGTGAAGAAGACCGGGAAGCAAGGGCTGGAGGAGTTGAGGAAGACCAGAGAGGACAACATGTACCTCGCCAAGCTCGCCAAGCAGGCCGAGCGGTTCGACGAGATGAGAAAAGCGATGGACAAAGTCGTCCGAACGGTTCCATCGTTGTGGGAGCTCGACCTAGAGGAACGCAACTTGTTGAACATTGCCTATAAGGACGCTGTCAGCACACGTCGCAGTTCCTGGCGAACGGTGAATTCCCTGGCGCAGGAGCAAGAGAAGAAGGAAGTCAAGAATGAGCGTCATTTATCCATTATAAAAGATTATCGAGCGTCGATAGAATCGGAGATTAACGATATATGTGGAAGCATCCTCCAACTCGTCGACGAGCACATACTACCCTCGACCACTAGCTCGGAAGTGAAGGTGTTGTTTCTAAAAATGAAAGGTGATTATCATCGCTACCTTACCGAGTTCAAAACCGGAGATGAGATGACGGAAGCGTCCGATAAAGCTCTGTCTGCATACAGCTCCGCTAGAGACCTTGCACTCATCGAACTGTCACCGACCCATCCGACTCGACTGGCACTGGCTCTTAATCTCTCGATCTTCTACTATGAGATAAAGCATTCACCGGAAGAGGCAATCCAAGAGGCCAGAAAAGCTTTCGAAAGTGCGATCAAGGAGCTTGATGTATTAGAAGAGGATTCCTACAAGGAAAGCACAACAGTGATGCAGCATTTGCGGAGGAATCTTACACTCTGGTCATCTGACCTACTGGAGGATTCCAGGAAATACACCAAAAAATCGAGCTCCGTCAGGGCTAATGGTGACTGCTTGGAGGAAAAGAAAGCATGAATATTTGTGTCATGATAAAGGTGATAGAAGGCTCATGTAGATTTCAGTTCGAGAGCAAACAGGAGCCCACCCATGTGGTAATTTCTAGCTGCTGTATTTCAAATAGAGGGGCTTTTGATGGCTTCAACAAAATCTCGATCGAGGAGCTTCAAGTATTTCCAGAGGATTCCTACAAGGAGAGCACAACAGTCATGCAGCGTTTACGGAGGAATCTTACACTTTGGTCATCTGACCTACAAGATGATTTGAGGAAATACACCAAAAAATTGAACTCCATCAGCGCTACTGGTGACTGCTTGGAGAGAAAGAAACATTCATAATTTGGTGTTTTCGAAAAAGGTGACAAAAGATAGCCCATATATATTTCAGCCTGAGAGCCGACAGGAGGTCACCTAGGTAGCAATTTCTAGCTGCTGTATGACCAAAAGAAGAGAGGCTTCTACATGGTTTATCTGCTTTATTGTTCAAGAAATGTCGCTCCTCACAAGTAAATTTGTAAACCGTCTGACTTATGGCTTCCATAAAAACTGGAATGTTATTTCCATGCGTGCTGACCTATGTACAACATTATTGTGCTTTACAAAAGATTCAAAATGCTCTTGAACATATATCAGGATTGAACCAAAGGCGGAGTGCTATACCACTTACTAAAATCGTCACTGAGAATTGATGTCAGAGAAAACGAGTGAAAATTAGAGTACAAATGTAGTTTCTAGCTTACTTCCAAGCTTTCACCCTTGAAATTTTCAGACAACACTTGTCGATCGTAAGAACTTAGTACATATATATCTGATTGTCTTCTCTGCCTGGAATGATACTTCGTATCTAGTGTGAAAAATGCATCAGGATTTGGATATCAAATTTGCGGTATAGCTTACAAGCATACCACCGAGTGCTACTTGGGAGCTATCAGCTGGTAGCAGTAAGGATCCGAAGTCAACCAAGTAATCCAGGCAAGTAATTCAGTATCAGAAGGTTATTGTCACTTAAGAACACGATTAGACGAGTAAAATCGTCAATAAAACTTCTTGCTTATTTGAACGTGCTTAGATTACTCCAGGTCCAATCAAGTCAATGAAAGATGCTAAGAGCTCGATAGTAGGAGCTCGACGATCAGACTGCATCGCAAGGCATGCCTCCATAACAGGGATGTCCATACATTGCTCTACAAGCCAATCTTTTTTATCCTTTCCATCGTCCACTTTAACTCTGATATGAGATGAGAATTCTGTATTGTGATTTTCTTCTTAGATATCTTGTCATGAACTTTCACTCTCTGAATTCTGAAGCCTTGCTTTTGCTACGATCCATTCTATTTCACAAGCTTCAGCTGCAATGGAATTCAAGGAGGTCACTGTCTTCCAGCAACCTTTGGATCAAACCTGATAAAACCTGACTTGAAGTGACGCTTCTCCTGCAGTCCACTCCTCGCACACGATCAAACATGCACATCTGCTTTGAAGTATCATCGTCATGTGGGCTCGTTTAATGTTTCTGCTTTTTCTCCGTCACTTCTAAATTTTCTCTTCCTAATTCAATGGACAGCGGTTTCCCTCCACCTCCGTTCATGCATTTGGAACATCATGTAGGAAAGCAAAGTTCGAGACACGGTTTGTCCTTCACCACGAGTCCTTTACCGAAACAAACCCACCTGAAATTACCACAAAGAACGGAGGAGAAATTTCATTCGGGTCACGTTTGAAGGCAGGGGTCTTTGATGAGCAATTTGCATACGCCGAGCAGTTTTGACACGGATCCAGGTTTAGTGAGCAATATCCGAATCACCAATACGATGTCTTTCGTCTCGCTAGCATACAATAAATGTATGCGAATGTCTGAGACTGGTATACTAAATTTTCCAGCCTCATATGTGGTTGACATTTCGGGGTTTTTAATCCTCGTAATTATGATGATGACTCCCATGGCGTTCGCTATCCACAGAGAGCACACGTATCTTATTTATTATAAGTGGTATATATTTCTAGATGCTACATGTATACATATGTACATCTACGCAGTGTCACAAGAGTCCCATATTGTACAGAATTATTATCAACCATCTGTATCACGAAGCGATGAGAGCTTAGAGTTTAATTTACTAATTTTCACAAATTTTAGAAACAATGTGCATGCCGTTCTTCGGGTCGAAATTTCCTGCCCGGGGCCTTCGTCGCTCATTCGAAAGCTTGGTGATTTGAACGACTCGGACCCGTTGTTGGCAAGTAGGGAAATCAACTTGAAAAGGGGGCAGGTCAGTGTCCGGCGAGATCATTGGACTTGAACCTTGTCGTAGCACTCACGCTTTCATTGTCATCGTTGACTGTTGCAGTCATTTTCGAAAGACTCGATTTCGTCGATTTTGCCCAAACTGTCTCCTTGTCAGTCTCAGAGCTTCAGAGGTGATTCAGATCGGAGGTTCATACTTCTCACAGATACCGATGTCTGCTCGTTTTTCACTACCTCGGGTGACCTGGGGATGCGGTGATTTGACGCTTCGTGCCAGAAGTCGAGCTTGGGCATCGGAGCAGAGCTGATAAATAGATAGACTGCGCGGTGACATATGGTCGAAGATTGTTCGAGCAAGGACGGGGGACTCCAGGGGCTGAGAGTTGGTTTGATAATTGGTAATTCGAATCCCTATTCGTGAGGGCGGGTCGGGAATGAGGTGAAGTTGTTGCGCGGAGTGATTCATTCCGGCCGCATGACTGCGTGATCATCATAGACATGGCGACCGAGGAGGAGTTGAAACGAATGCGGGAGGAGACTGTGTACATAGCAAAACTGGCCGAGGAGGCCAAGCGGTTCGATGATATGCAAAAGGCGATGGAGAAGTTGGTCAGAAATATCTCGGACGGCGAGCTGACGGACGAGGAGCGCATCTTGCTTTTCAGAGGCTACAAGAACGTGTTCGGCGCGTCTCGAAAGTCTTGGAAAATTCTTTCTTCCATCGAAGCGGAACAGGCCAAAAAGAAGGGCGACCACGACAGGACACAAGCCGATGCCGAATTGCTGAGGGAATACAAAAGAGAAATCGAACTGGAAATGAGCGGCCTCTGCGACAATGTCTTCAGCCTCCTCGATACTCTTCTGATCCCCACCTCCACCACCGCGGAATCGAAGGTTTTCTTCCTGAAGATGAAGGCCGACTTCCTCCGCTACGTGACCGAGTTCAAGACCGGAGCCGAAGCCAAAGAAGCAGCCGACACCACTCGCCTCACTTACGAAACAGCGTACGACATCGCCGAGAAGGAGTTGGCCCCGACGCATCCGTGTCGATTGGGACTCATGCTCAATTTCTCGGTCTTCTTTTACGAAATTTTGAAATCCCCGGACCACGCGTGCAGATTGGCCAAACGGGCTTTCGAAGAGGCGGTGGAGCTGGAGGAGTCGAACGAGGATAGCATCCACATCATCGACCTGCTGCGGAATAACTTCACCGTCTGGACTTCCGGCAGGCACGACGAAGCCGGAATCAAGGAGAAGAGCAAGAGCCAGGAACTGCCGGAGCGTGGATGACGAATCGATCATCCCCGAGATTCGAGCGTTCCTCGATCGTTCGTTCGTCAGAGCAGCCGATTTGTCGACAGAGCTCGAGAAGACGACCGATGCTCCCGACACTTTCGAGCGTAGTTCGAGATTCTCCAACGTCGTGGAACTGCATCTCCATCGTCTTGAGCGTCAAGAAAAGGACGAATGTCAAAATTAACACATACAATCTGCACTTTCCGATTGTTAAACGACCTGGACTAAGTTTTCAAACGCAAGATTATTCTCTCCAGTTGTGATTTTACCTCCGCCTTGAAATCCAATTTGATGCACTTTCATTTATCTTGTTTCTGTTCCTTTGTGCGACCTGAAGCCAGCAGTGCCTGTATTCTCGATGAGCTTATCTAACAATTGTAATGTCATCAAAAACCAGGTTGCAACAGCAAAGAGCTGAAATGAAGTTTTTTCTTTTCTTATAATTTGCTCAACAAGAATGTCGTAAATATGACCGAAAACGATTGCGTCTTCGATTATTTCATCTACTTCCGACGACCGAGGTGACCGACCGACCGCTGTCTTTGTACTGTACTTTGTCGAAGCCCTTGCTCTGATTTCAAGTTCGTCTTACATAGCCCGAACTGATACTGCGATGAATGTTGTGGATTCTGAACCGACTCAGTGAGTAGTCCCATCCGTTTGTTAGCTCCTTCTGAACTCAATGCCTCGGAGAAAACTTCCAAGTATTAAGTTTTAGCTACATTTTAAGTTGAAGGTTGAAGCCATATCTATATTTTCTAGACATTAATCCTTACAAATACATCGAGCTCTGGATTCTCAAAATTATAGAAATTATGAACGTGATAAACTTTTACACATTTCGATAAGCTTTATACTAATATATTTTGATGTTGCAGTATAGAGTTCTGCATGAATTTCTGATGAGATTTCTCGATGCGGTCGGGTTGGAACATGTCATACTCGACCCAAGATAATGCGGGTTTAGTTCATTTCCAAAAGAGTCAATTTGTTTAGCACGTTGAAACTTAGTTAATTCAAACTAATTTTAACATCTATAATTCGGTATGGATGTTCTAGATTTCAAGAGCGTTTGTGCATTGTTTGTTTACACATTGCACCAATTCAAGATTTACCAATCGAAGGATATCCATCAATATCTGGAGATGAAGTAATCAGTCCAAGTACACGTCATAAAATAGGAAATTCCACACCAAATTTTCAGTGTTGTTGCACCAATGTTAGGGCAACAAAGTCACCGTCAACTTATGCATGTTCTATAAGTACTTTGCAATAGCAATCTTTTCACTATCCATTCTATCCTCATGGTTCATTAACCAAAAATTTGTAAAATGGAAAAAGTAAATAAATGAATTCTCCATTTTAAATTTTAATCCTATTCCTATACAAACAATCTTATCAAAAATACCAGTCTCACCAAAACTTATATATCTGAATATCTACACATATGGAAATCCTCATATATATCCTCATGACAATGACCAATGAAACCTTGATATTCGCAACAAAAGCATCAACTATTTTCAGCTTTTGTAATGCTCCCAGCTTCTCGGGAACCAGATTGAAGATAGCATTTCTACGATTGCGCCTTACTGTTTGTACACCTCATATAGTGCCTCTTCGGTTTAATTTTAAGTTTCCATCATGCTTTACATATCGGATGACTGGTTCCAACTCTAATTAATTACACCAAACCACTAGATAAAATATCATTTCCTTGATAGCGTTGTGAACATTGGATATGTTTCAGTTGAGAAAGTCCATAGTTGTATAATATAGAATAGTATGTATAGTTGTGATATATAGAATAATCGAAAATTGATTAATAAAAACTTATTCGTTGATAAAATTAGTTCAGGAATTTTTACTTTTAGAAATATGACAAATATTTATTTAGGAATTATGAGTGAAAAAAATTACGTTACCTTTGGATAAGAATCCAAAGACAAATTTGATATGTATAATATGTGAATATATATAGGGTTATTGATTTGATTTGATTTAAAATGAAATTTCGATATTTGGATATTTGGTTGAATGTTTAAGCTGACATGGTATTTTGAAATTTAAATTGAATTTTAAGATAGATGAAGATTCTCAATCTTTGAAATTTATCCATGTCTTGATTAAACCCAATCATTTAGGCTGTAATTAATCTTTCTAATTAATATTAAAAAATAAAAAGTATCCCATAAAAATCAGTCATAAAATAAAAAATTAAATACTAAAAAAAGTGTAGTCTAACACAGTGAAAAAAATATTATTATTTGTTAAGTATATTTTGTGTATTTCAATTTCAGGACATATATGCAATGACAAGTCATCAATTCTCAGCATAGGTACTAGTAAGATTTTATAAATTCCAAATAGATTAATATCACATTACTATTTCTCATAATTATATGTATTAGTGATACGTACCAAATCATACATAGTGAAATAAATAGTAAATTATAAAAAGTGTTAATTTGATACATATCACAAAAATATGAATGCCAACATAAGTAGTTAGCATATAAATATGATTTGATTAATATTATGAAAATATGCATGTTTAAAACAAAATATTAGACTGTTTACTTGCAATTGTTGCTTGTTACTAATCTTTGATTTTACATATATACTCTTCAATGTTTTCAAGAATAGGAAAAAGATTAGGTCACTATTGTGTCCTTTCATACACATGAAAGCCTTTCGTGTGTATGAAAGGAAGAAGGAAGGATTCTAGTCCAGCTAATCGCGCTAGAATTTGCCAAGTTTTCGGTCTGGAGAACTATCACCCGATACATTCATCTTCATTAGTATACATTTGACTTTCGGGTTCTCCGATCCTCACTCCTCGAAATTTCTACTAACAAATGAAAATAACTCCATGATATGGTAAAAGTTTACATGAAGGGTCACAAATTGTTATTGTAGCAACACTAACTGACATTCGTGACCCTTGCATGAAAACTACATCATCCTTTGACATTTTATAAATTTTTATATTTTTATATTTATTTATAGAGGAGTATACTTCAGAGATTCCATTTTCTACTACGCCTCCAACTCCGTCAGTCTATAAGTGACCAATGCATCTCGCAATAATAGCTTCTCAGTCTTTGATCCACGGATGTAACTTGTGAGATGGCCAGCCTGAGACAAATTGTAGGGGACAGGTGCATAAATTCAGGCATTTGAATACCAGCTTCTTTTTTTACTTTCTCAAAGTGCTTAGAGAGCTCTTGACCCTAACCATGATCCACAGGATCTCCAATATCAATCGTCGATGAAAGAATGAATCACATTCATTTTGTTAATGCTATAATGTACTGATCAAGTCAAAATTGAAGGAACGATCTCCTTGAACGTGGTGAGATATCATGGACCATTGACATGTTCAGCTGCATGGACATACAGAATTATACCAGAAATTGAAACAACCTCGCAGTTCAAATCCGGATCACCTTCCCTCATAGAATCCTTCTTCATGCTTTAGTCCTGCCAGCTCGTGGTCTCAACATGTATACTAGCAGCTCCTTAGAAGAAAGCCCAAAGTGATGGTTTGGTCATATTTGGCTGATCATATCCACCAGTCGCGTTTGTTGGGAAGATAATCATCTCTTGCAGCTGGGTTCAAATTTAGTGAAGATTTGTCTTCTTCTTGAACAGCTCCTCCATTTTGGTACTGTGAGTCTACTGAGAGACTACAGCATTGGGGCATGGTGTGATGTTTTGGTGATTTTGAGCATCCATATCTTTACATTGAATGTTTTCTGAGTTCGCCGTGCTATTGGGTCCACATCTTTTTACTTACCTCGAAAGGTGTGAGCACAAAACTGTGCTCACATGTCTTTTTACCCTTATGAGAGTTAAAATTTTGGATTTAAGCTCTTGCAAAATTATGCTTGGGGTTTTTCTGAAAGTTTTGGCAAGATTAGGAGTTGGTGTGATGGTTACGGGGCAAAAGGTGCGGAAGGGGGCCTTCAGGGCAAGGTCTTCGGCGAAGTGCCTTCGGTAAAGTCCCTTCGGGGAAAGGCCTTCGGCGAAACAGTGAAACCCTCATAACGTTTTGTAATAACCCACCAAAGGCTAAAACTGCAGTATGGTGGTAAAAAGATCGAACCCACAGGGACAGAGGCAACACACAGAGTACAAAGTGTCACGTTTAACAGACTTTTGGAGAGTTTGAATTCTCAGGCGACTGTCACTCCCAGAAATACTGCAGTGCTCGACTCGGAGGCCACTCGGAGGATGCTCGGAGGATGCACAGTGCAGCGTAAGTCACTCAACACACACACACACACACACACACACACACACCTGAAACTGGAAAAGCACAACTCGGAGGTCGGTCAGGACCTCCGCTTAGGATTTCAGGGGGAAAGTATCTCAAAAGTTCACTCCGCGGCTCTGCAGGTAGTGACTCCCACTCCGGCTTTTATAGCCCTCCCGCTAGTTTCTGCTAGCGTAGGGAACCCGGATTGGACTTTCCACTTCGGAACGAAGTCACTCATACGCAGTGGACGTCACCCTCGACTCACACTAAGCGCAGAGAGTACAGGTCTGACTGAGAACTCAACTGAGACACAATCCAATAACACACACACAACCTGAATTGATAACCAAGGTTTACACGAAGTAACAAAACTTCACTTTGGCATTCAGGGGAAACTTCCCGTAGGAGTACAATCAGGATATGTCACTCGAAGGAGTAAGGGGGAACTGTTCAAGTATCTAACTCGCAACCGGCTCTAAGCATCAGAAATCACCCGCATGTGCAAATCCGCACTACTCAAGTCTCTAACCGGTGTACTAGCTCTGAACATTCAGCCGAAGGCTTTCAGCTACAACATGCGGTAACTTCACTATGCTGCAACTTCTCTACGTGGTGCCAGGACCAAATGCACAAACACGCCGAGAAAGTGAGTTCCTGATCTGCACTTCCGAAACTGGAAGAGTCCCAAGGCAAAACGCCTTGAACTACTTTATACCCTCTAGGGTCCTAACTA